TAACACCACAATTAATAATGTGTATTATAACACCACAATTAATAATGTGTATTACAACACCACAATTAATAACACATGTATATTATAACACCACAATAAAATCGATAATGATTTAAATCACATCATTCTTTATGGTCCAGTGCAGGTTTCCAGTTAGAAGACAACTAGTAATAATAGTGTCTTGAATTATATTTATAGCACTTCTGCTGGGCTGTTGTAGCCCAATATGTGGGCTATCATAAGTTGAATTATAAGCATAATTTGACTGGAAATTTGATAATGTTAGAAAAACACGTAGGTTCAAGAAGTCTTGATAGAAACTACTAAAAACCCAAACGCTTTCCAAAAGTGGAACTTTCTCCCTCAGGGACAAACTGGGAATGGAAATAACAGTGTTATGGAAGAAAAGGAACTTGGATTAGGATTTTATGTTGTATCTACAGAAACACTGAATACAAGTCTAAAGAGGTTATAATTTCATTGTACAAGTCATTGGTTAGATCACATTTGGAATACAATGTTCAGTCTTGGGCTTATTACTTTAGAAAGGACATTGAGTTGTTGGAAAGGGTTCAGAGGAGAGCTGCTAGGATGACACCTGGGATGGATAAGTTGTAATACAAGGAAAAGGTTAAGATCTCTGAAATGGTTTTTTTCTTTAAAAATGAAGAGTTAGAGGGAATTAGATTGATGTGTTTAAAATTAAAGAGAATTGTAGTGTTGATGCGACATCTTTTTTTTACACATAAAGCGACACACACACATAAATTTTGGCATGGTATGAGTCATTTAACACAGTTATATTTTTCTAACAGGGTGGTTTGACCTTTGGAAATGGTTGTGTTCAGATTTGGGGGAAGCTGTAAATTTAAGGGAAAGCTTGACAAATATTTGAATGATAAGGGTTGACTTGAGCTGTTTTGTGTTAATAGTTTAGTGGATAAGACAGACTAGATGAACCTGCAGGTCCATTGTTGTCCTTAAATGTCATGTTAATTGGCCTGATGAACTTTGGTCACGAGAAAAAGATGTCTGTGTCATACAACAAATAATATGTAATTGAAATGCTATTATACAATCTTGTAGCTGGAAACCTGTATTGTTTAGTAAAAACTAATGGGATTGAAATTATAAAAACAGATTTTTATTACCACTTAACATCCTGCCAAACCAGATAAAAAAATTCAACAATACAAAACATAAACATTAGTTAGATTTTGTAGTCAGATAAATGGTTAGAAACAACAGTTGACTTGGTTTTTTGGTCAAGAAAGAAAGGTGAGAGTAACAATATTAAAGTTGGTTTAAAGTTGTCCATCTTGAAGTTATAAAAATAAAGGTTAAAGACCTTAAAGTGGTCCATCTTGAAGTTATAAAAATAAAGGTTAAAGACCTTAAAGTGGTTAGGTCTTGAAGCTACATTAATGTTGGTTATATACTGAAGCTAGAAAAAAAAAAGGCATAAAATTAGCTTAAGCTTTGACACCAGAAAACAAAGGTTAGAGACACAAACTGATAAGGTTTGGGGTGGAAAAAAGTTACTGTTTAAAGCATTACATTCTTTAGTGAAAAGACGTTTCCAACAAATAAAACTCAGCATAAAGACAACATCTGGTTACATTTTGGAACCAGAAAATAAGAATAAAGACAGAAAAATTGATCAACTTTTGGAGTTCTAAAGAAGGTTAGAGTTGTAAATATTTATCTGGTTTACAATCGAAAAGAAGGTTAGTCGTAAATATTTATCTCGTTTACAATAGGACATGACACTTCAGGATCTAGAACTGAGGTTACAACCATATTTAGAGGTTGTTAGAACTGAGTTTACAACCATATTCAGAGGTTGTAAGAACTGAGGTTACAACCATATTTAAAGGTTGTTAGAACTGAGGTTACAACCATATTTAGAGGTTGTTAGAACTGAGGTTACAACCATATTTAGAGGTTGTTAGAACTGAGGTTACAACCATATTTAAAGGTTGTTACCACTGAGGTTACAACCATATTTAGAGGTTGTTAGAACTGAGATTACAACCATATTTAAAGGTTGTTAGAACTGAGGTAACAACCATATTTAGAGGTTGTTAGAACTGAGGTAACAACCATATTTAGAGGTTGTTAGAACTGAGGTTACAACCATATTTAAAGGTTGTTAGAACTGAGGTTACAACAATATTTAAAGGTTGTTAGAACTGAGGTTACAACCATATTTAAAGGTTGTTAAAACCATCTGATATTCTGCAGCAAAACCAAAGGGTGATAGTAGAGTAATGTTTTACTATATGAAGTAGACCTGTCAACTTGTGGTTAATACCAAATGTTTTACTATATGAAACACACCTGTCAACTTGTGGTTAATACCAAATGTTTTACTATATGAAACAGCACCTGTCAACTTGTGGTTAATACCAAATGTTTTACTATATGAAACACACCTGTCAACTTGTGGGTGATAC